GAGACATTCATTGCCTGTGGCCATGACGGTGTTTACAGAGGAAACAGCCCTTTTTGGAGAGCTTTATTGCCAATTATCTACCTGCCACGACCTGCCTGGGCACAGCCAAACCCCGCAGCCTCCAGTGGAAAATGTGGTGTCGTGGCCCCACAGGCACACTCAGCTCACCCTCCCCTTGCAGCGAAAAGTAAACTCTTTGCCCAAACTTTCTTTTTCCTGGCTGATTCATGTCCCTGTTGCTGCCCCACTGATGGGGAAGGAGCAGGAGCAGGAGCTGTTCCCTGGCATGGCTCACAGGAAGGACAAGCTGACTTTAAAGTCCAGGAGCAATTTCTCCATATCTTGGGTGTCCTTTTGCCCTGGCCAAAAATCACAGTCAAAACCTCTTTCTCATTGGCATCAGCTTCCTTGTTCCTGCACTGAGCCCTATCCATCCTTATCAACCTGCTGTGCGGGCTTGGACTTGGGAGTATTTATTCCTCCAGCAGCAGAGAGGAACCTAATCCTGCACGGATGCCAGTGCCAGCGGAATTGACGCAAGCAGCACTGATTCCCAGGGCTGCCCTCCCTCTGGCACAGCCGTGTCCCCCAGGGAGCCCCATTGGGGTGCAGGGAAGCCCCCATGGGTGCAGCATCCACAGTGCAGATGCCACTGTGGTGGTTTCAAGGTCAAATATTTGAATGTCACCCCCACAACGGAGCCAGCACGGCGAGAAGGGGACGAGCCTGCGCTCCCAGGATGGCCATATCTGTGCCACCTACATCCTTGGCGTCCCCAGTATCCCCCATGCCAAGCACAACTCTGAGTATGACACAAGTGCTCCACTTTTAGCAGCAGAGCCGGGTCTGTCCCGACCTTTCCTTCCTGCTGATCTCAGCCTCTGAGTCAGGGCAGGAATCCGAGCGTGCCCACCAAAAATAACAAATGTTAAATTAATCCAGTTTAATCTTAATCTCATTTGACAACCAGCTCAGCCGGGGGTGCTCCCCGGTGTCCAACTGACCAGGACTCCGGGATGGGGGGAAAGGGAAAAGGGCTCCGGAGCCCGGCCCCCCACACGGTATGGGGACAGAGGGAAGTATGGGGGGCACGGGGGTGGTGGCAGGAGCCAGCAGCTCCCGGTGACAGTGGCAATGGGGGTGGCACGGGGGCCAGGCGGGGCTGGTCCCGGCACAGCGAGGAAGTCACGGTGAGATCCCTATCGCCTGCGCGGGGGCGGCCGGGAAAGGCACGGTACAGCGGGGGCGGGAGTGGGGCCGCCTGAATTCAGGGCTGACAGTGCCCCCAAAACCTGGGTCCTGCTGTGCAGGGGGAAGAGGTAACTAACCCCAACCCTGACTAGTATGCCAGACTGGGGAGCACCTGGATCCCGAGGGAAAGAGGCACTAAGGGCTGTAGGCACTGTCCTGGGTGTGCTGGGAGAAGCCTGCACGGCTAGGCTGTGTCATGCCAGCCCCTGGAGGGACTCTCTGTATGGCATTTCCACTTCTGGACATAGAATCACAGAATCCTGGAATGCTTTGGGTTGGAAGGAACCTTAAAGATCACACAGTCCCACCCTCTGTCATGGGCAGGGACACCTTCCACTATCCCAAGGTTGCTCCAAGCCCCATCCAACCTTGAACACTTCCAGGGATGGGGCAGCCACAGCTCTGGGCAACATGTGCCAGGGCCTCACCACCCTCACAGCCAGGAATTTCTCCCTAAATCTAATCTAACCCTCCCCCCTCAGTCTAAAGCCTTATATCTGGCTGTAAGGAATATCTAAACAAACCACAAAGAGCCCCGAATGAACAAGAGGCGTGATGGGGTTTGGAATGATGGAGCAGTGTAGCTGCCTCAGAAGAAGGCAATAGCAACTGAGAATCCTCAGCATGGGAAGGATAAATCCATGGGAAAGAGTCTGGCATGAGGGCTCACTCTGCTTCCGCCCTGCTACGCACTGAGCTGCAGCTCGACATGACTGCTCAGGAAGAGATAAGGAGACATCAGTTTAACCAGCACCAGAAGGAACCAGCAGCTCAGAGGGGCTGTGACACCTGTCCTAGGAAGGCACACTGCTCCACATGCCACTACTCTGTGCTGGCTCCAGATGTGCTGCCCTGGCTCCAGATGTGCTTGTCCTTGGGGCTGCCCCAGCCCCAGATGACTTAAACGGGCTCCAGATGTGCACACTTACCATCCTCTCCCAGCTGTGCAGCCCCGGCCCCAGCTGTGTGTCCCCACACACCCAGAACATGCCAAAATGAAAATTCCCACTGAAACCCTCCCAGTCCTGCTCCTGACTATACATTACCATAGTCGTATAGACGTGTTATATACATTACTATACATTACCATAGCCATACAGACACATTATATACATTACTATAATCACACGTTATAGTTTCATCACCCAGTGAGGTTTTACTCCCACTGTGCTGCCAGCAGGCTCATGCTCTCACTTCCACTAAAAAGTCCCCATGGATCAGACAAAACCTAGAGCAGCTGGTACTTGCTGGCAGAGGAAGGCTCTGTCTTGCCCTGGGGGAGAAAAATTCTGTTCCCCAACATTTCCCTCTTCGAGGCAGAGCTGGGAGCTGTGCGGTATTTCCTGTGGTTGCAGCCTCTAATGAGGTTAACACTGTTTTTGAGGTTTAACTCTTCAACCGACATGAGAAAGGAAGCCACAGGCTCTGCAGAGTCAGGGTTTGGGAGCAGCAGGGAGCCAGTGGGATGGAGGGCACTGGAGCATCCCTGGAGCCTTGGACCTCTCAACCTTGGGAGTCTGCAGCTTGGAGCATCCTTGGATGAGCTGGTGGCCAGCACAAGCAGAGGGGGTGACACTCACTGCTGGTGAAAACAACCTCACTCATTAAGGACTCCTCATTCCACGCTTCTGGGATTAGCAGGAAAATGTCCTTTCCCTGATGCAGCTCAGCCCAGCACACTCTGCTGTGCTCCTGTCACCTTGTACACAGCAACGCAACCATAAAAATCCATTCGGGATGGATATAACTTTGTTGGGGTGTCTCCAAATTCTGTAAGAACTTTCAGAAGACACTCCTTCCCCCGAGGCTGCTCCTTTAAGGGATGCTGGGTTTTCCCATGGACTGACTCAGACTGGAAACTCTCCATTTTTGGTGCTGTTATCTGGGTCAGCCCCACTGCTCACCTCGCTCACACTCACCGATGCTTCTTGCTGCGCTCGCCAGCTCCGGCCGCAGCAGGAGGAGGATCCCAGCAGGATCCTGAGGAGAGCCAAGGTAAGAACCCTCTACTCTGCCCAGCTTCCAGACCCCTACATTTAAATACAAAATATACCAGCTCATTGTCCTCACCTGCTGCTCCCATGCGTTATCCCCTCCTGGCACAGCTGCCGGTGAAGATTCCACCTGGTTTGGGCTTGAACAACAGGACAGCTTTTTCCTTCTTTTTTTACTTCCCATTTCTTTAGCACTAATGCACGAGGAGACTTTAACAGAGACAAGATCAAAGCCCAGCATCTGCCAGCAAGGGAAACAGTCTTGTTCCTTTGGCTTTGGAGTTTGAAAACGCCTATAAATTGGAATAAAAATATGAATGTGAGTGATTCCCAGGGGAGGCAGAGCCTGCAGTCCCTTGTAAAGCTGCCAGTGGGCAGATTTAGTGTGTTTTCAGCTCTTTTCATAGAATACGAGTTGTATTTTTTCATTTGCTCTGACTTGCAGAAGGTTCATCTGCTTCTCTTAGTAGGTCAGGTAATAGGGAGGCACTTAAAATTTGACTCACTAGTGATGAGTATTTGAACATCCCTTAAACCAAACAAGGTCAGTTCACACGGCAGGAGAAATACCGAAGTACTTGCTGCTGCTGGTGGCCTGGTTTGGGTTGAAAAACAGCATTTTGAAGCTTTCACTGTGGACTCTGCTGTCTCTCCAGGGAAAACTTGCCATTCCTGACTTCAGGTATTGCATGGGGTTATTTGAAAAGAAAATGAGGGAGTTGTGGGGCTTTTCTGGATGTTCAACCCTGCGTAGGGGAATGGGGTGTCAGGTCAGGGTCTGCTCCCAGGAGGATGTTTTTCATGAAAAAGAGCAATTTTCCCCCAGGGAGTTGCATTTCCTTGCACTTCAGTCCGTGCCTTGGTTGTTTCAAAGCTGACCCATCCCCACATCCCAAGTCCCACAGGGCTGGTGAGATTAGGCTTCCCGTCCGGAGAGGGTTTGTCCTGGCGGGATGCACCCAAAGAAGCTGGGGAGGAAGTCAAAGGGAACAGGGAAAAATTCAGGCAAGACTGTGGGATGCAGACACAAGAGTGGCTCCTTGGGGAGAGGTGGGAAGCCCTGGCCTGAGGTTTTGGGGCTGTCTCGAGGGGTTCACTGCTTGCAAGAGCCATTGTTCAGCTTGGACAGGACCTGTGGGAAAGATCTTATGGAAATGGAAGTTTTGTCCCACAAAACCATGTCTGAGCATCCCAAGGGATGGAGACTGTAGGGTGAGCCCTGCTGTGTGGTCAGCATTAAAGAGCTTTTTCTTATGTTTAGCTGGAATTTTCTGATTTCCAGTGTGAGCCCATTGCTTCCTGTCCTTTCACTGGGCAATGCTGGGAGGAGTTTGGCTCCCTCATCTTTACTTCCTCGTCTATACCGAAGGATTTAAGCCTCTTTGAGCCCCTCCTCTCCAGCAGCTCTCCCAACCCTTCCACATTTCCCAGGTGCTCCCGACCCTCAGGCATTTTTGCTGGACTCCAATCTGTCCATGTCTCTCCTGTCCTCAGGGGAGCCCAGCCCTGATTCCAGCATTCCAGATGTGCCTCCTCAGTGCTGAGCAGAGGGACACCATCCTCCTGACCCACCAAACCCGTCTCTTTCAAGGAAGGTTTTCAGCCTTGATTTCCCTGCTGTAAATCCACGTTTTCCTGCTCCCATCGCCTCCTGGTGCTCCTGCCTGTGCTGGAGCTGGTTTCCAGGAGGATTCCCTCTATCCCCTTTCCTTCCACAGACTATGCCATGCGTGGGCAGTGGCTGCAGCCCAGGCCATGGCAGGGTCTGGCAATGCTTTGGTTCTCTACATCCTGGTCTGCTGCCTGTGCCAAGGTAAGTGGCCACCACATGGCTCAGCACGGCCACCATGGCCTCGCTGACCACCAGAGCATACCCTGTGGTCCTAGAGGGGATTTAGGGTGGGAATAGGACAGTTGCAGAGCTACAGCTGTGTATTTTGGGGGGAGCACTGCACTAGCATTGCAAAGGGGTCCCATGTCCTGCGGCACCCTCTGTTTCCCACTGGCATCCTTGGAGCAGGACCATGTCCAGCCTCATTGCAGTGGCTGTGCTAAGCAGTGGGATGTGCCTCCACAGGCATAGCCGGAGCACAGCCTTGCCCTTTCCAGGAAGGCCAGATGGAGTCTGATAGCGGCTGTGAGCCCGGGCTGCCTGGGCTAGTGCAGAGCTCCATCTGATAGCGCAGGGCAGCGCACACCTCCGCCGCCCTAATCAGGGGATCAGAGTTCTCGAGACTGTGGGTTATTTCCCTGCACTCATTTAGACATTAGAGCAAAACCTAAAATTGTCTGTTTCTGATCTGCTGGGATGAGTCACTGGGTGCCGGGGCATTGCTGCAGGCAGGGGTTGGTTTCATCACAGATTCATAGACTGGTCTGAGTTGGGAGGGACCTTAAAGCTCATCTTGTTTCACCCCCTGCCATGGGCAGGGACACCTTTCACTGTCCCAGGTTGCTCCAAGCCCTGTCCAACCTGGCCTTGGACACTTCCAGGGATGGGGCAGCCACAGCTTCTCTGGGCAACCTGTGCCAGGGCCTCACCACCCTCACAGCCATGAATTCCTTCCCAATATCACTCATGACCCCTAGTTTCTCCCTATCCCATAGGGTTCAAGGGGTGCTGGCATCCCCTTGCTGCAGGGTCCAGCCATGCTGCTGCTGCATCCCCTGTGGAGTGGTGCAGCCCACGGGCATCCCCTCCTGTGGGACACCCACCCAGAGCCACCCTGACCCAGCGGGTATTGGCACAGGTGCTGCAAACATCAAGTGCTCAGGGCACGTCTGGGTCGACCCCGCGCCTGTAGTGCAGATGGGCTCCAACATCTCCATCAACTGCCTCTCCACCCTCGGCTGCCCCTCAGCCAAGTTCATCATCCTCCTCAACTACAACCGCACTGAGGGTCCCCTGCACCCCCTCAACAGCAGCTCCGTCCAGCTCCAGCTGCACGATTTCCGGCTGCCCTTCGGGGCCATTGTCTGCTTTGCCCGCTGCCCCAGCAGCGGGAGGGACCAGCTGGTGTGTGGCACTGAGGTCCGGGCCGGCTGTGAGTACCTTGGAGGGGGGGCTTGAGGGCTCTTGCTGAGCACCGAGGAGTTGGGGCGTGCAGTGCGTGGTTTTGGGGGATGTCCATACTTTCACCTGTCCTTGCCCCTGCAGACCCTCCAGACCCCCCCAGCAACCTGAGCTGTGTCATTGCCGAGGGCTCGGAGCACCTGGAGTGCAGGTGGGATGCAGGGAGGCCGCCCCACCTGCTCACCCACCACACCCTCCACCTGCGCAGGTGAGGCCTCCAGGGAGCAGGGGGGCTGCAGGGATGAGAGGGAGCGCGGGACCGGCACGTGGCAGCCACAGAGCCGGGTGACAGCAGGGCTGCTGTGAGGGGGTGCCATGCCCTAGTTACACTTCCTACAGCTCACGTTTGCTCATCTTCTGCTCGAAAACCACACGTTCCACCACCGGTTAAGTTCTGCATGAGTAACCTCCTGCACTCAGTGCTGTTACTGACCCGGCACACATTCCATCGTGCCGCGGCACATGGAAGCAGCACGTTGTTTTCAGGTGCTTGGACTCTCTCTGAGCTAAAGAGAGGGTGAACCTGATGCTGCCCAAATCCCAAAACTGAAACTCCAACCTGAAGCAGAGGTACTGGCTGCTACATGGTGTGCCACAGCCCATCCTGCCCATCCCAGGATGCTCCCTGCTACTGAAGTCCCCATGGCACTAGCCTGGTATGTCACAGTCCATCCTGGGATGCTCCCTGCCACTGAAGTCCCCATGGCACCAACCTGGCAGGCTTTCAGTTACTCTGACTCAATTATTGAAGACATTAAATTCCATCATACTTGGCTTTATGAAGAGAAGGGATAAACCTCCTGTCTAAATTTGCTTGGGATCAAACTGAACCATGCAGCCAGAAAGAAAATTCCCTTCCTGTCATGAAAATGTGAATTCCCAGCAAAAATGTCAGGAACTGAAGGGAATAACTTTCCAGTTTGCTTTAGGAGTGACAAACTCCAGGTTTGGGGATGACCATGCCCTGGTCACTAGCTGCGACACCTCGGGAGTGTCACCATCCCAGTGGATGTGTGGTGCTGGGATGGGCACTGACAGGCTGCCTTCTGCTTCCCAGGTTGGTGGCAGAAGATGAGGAGGATGCTGAGGAGGAGGAAGAAGAGGAGAAGGTGTTCCCTGCAGACTCGCCAGTGCCCCTGAGTGCGCTGTGCAACAGGAGCCACTATTCGGTGTGGGTGCAGGCCAGGAATGCACTGGGCACTGCCCACTCGGCCCCACAGCTCCTCAGCCTGCAGGACATTGGTATGTCTGCCCACCCATCCCTCTATCCACCCGTCCTGAGCAGCACAGAGTGCTGGGGCTGTGCATGGCCACACCCACTGCCCTGCCCTGAGGTGTCACTTTAGGGGCCCTCCTGAGCTGCGCAGTGACATGCACGAGGGCAGCCCCCCACCCCACCCGTTTCTGGCTCTCCCCACAGTAATCCCCACTCTACCCCTGGTCACTGGTGCTGAGACAACAGAGGAATCCTCTCCCACCACCACGATCCACTGGAGCAGTCAGACAGAGCTGGAGAACGTGCACTGCGAAGAGCGACACCAAGCCAAGGGCACTCCAGCATGGCATGTGAGACCCCCAGGACTCCCCAAACCTCCCCCCTTGTGCAGCATCAGGCCCTGTTAGGAGAAGTGCAAGTCCTAGTCCTGCTGGAAACCCTCTTAAAAATGGGAGCATTTGGGGTCATTCAAAACCTACCCATTTGCTCTGGTACGGGTGGGGAAGGTGCACCCCAGCCACAGGCAGCTCCCACTTTTGGGGTGCAGGAGAGCTGGTGCCATCTGAGAGAACAGGTGGCCATCTGGGCAGGGTTATCTCAGCTTTACAAGCAAAAGGGCAAAATTCAAAATGTTTCCAAACATTATCTGCTCTGCAAGGACAAGACACAAAATCCTCTGGGATGCTCAGTGCAGACCCACAGATACAACTACACTGGGGCAGCTCCACCTGAGTCCCTTTGGAAACATCCCTGGGTGCTGGCAGGGGCTGAGCTGGATCCCAGTCCCCATAGGAGCCCCCAGAATCCCTGTGGTGTCAGAAGCCCAGCAGAGAAGTGGGATGGGGGTTCTCTCTATGACTCCACAGCTTGCCCGGTGCATTTGTAGAGGGGACAGTGTGGACTCTGCCCATCCCCACCCATGCAGATGAGAAAGGCAGTGACCACCACTGTGTCTGGGGGCTGGTGGTGGCAGTGGGGGCCCGGCTGGGTCCCACTTCCCCCCAAGACCCTGCTTCCCTTGCAGGTGGAGGTGTGGGACAGTGCAGCACAGGATGGGCCCCGCTGGCAGCACAACCTGCAAAGTGACACCCAGTACCTGTTCCAGGTCAGGTGCAGGCTCAGCATCCCCAACAGTCCCTGGAGTGCCTGGAGCCCCCCCTTTCTCTACACCACCCCCGAGGCAGGTAGGCTCAGCTTCAGAGACACCCCTGTACATGGCATTTCCAGAGTGCCCAGAGCAATGGTGGAGTCCCTATCCCTGCCTTTTAAATCCCAGAGATTTAAAAGCCATGTGGATTTGGCGCTTGGGGACATGGGTTAATAGTGACCATCCCCCAGTGCTGGGGGAGTGGCTGGACTTGGTCATTTAGAGGGCTTTTCCAACCTAAACAATTCCATAATTCCACAATCATTGGTAGCCTCTTGCCCTGGGTGGAAAAATCACACCAGTCATGGTGTCACACGAGCCACAAATATCTGTCACCTCGTGCCAGCTTCCCCCTTTTCATCCTGGCTGCTAACACCAGGATGAGGTTGGAAAGGGCCGGCTCAGTCATCCCGGCCAGCAGCGGGACGAGATGCCCGAGGAGCGTTGCCCTCACATCCCGGCTGTAGTGAGGAAGCCGGGGACGTGCTCGCCTCAAAAAGCAGCGCCCGCTGCTGTTTCCTCTCACAGCGGCAGAGACCCGGCCAGGCAGGGCTTCCTGCTAGGGCTGTGTGTGCTGGGGGGAGCCCCGTCGGTGGGTGTCCCCCGGTGCCTCAACCCCCGTCCCACGCTCTCTCCGTCCCGCAGCCCCCGCCGCGGCTCCCGACGTCTGGCGGCGCCTGGGCCCGGCGTTCCCCAACGGCAGCCACGAGGTGACGGTCTTGATCAAGGTAAAATGGGTTTTGGCTGCCTCTGTGAAATTTTGGCGTGCTCTGCTCCTCCCCGAGCAGAGAAGGGAACGCCCTCCCTGAGAAGCCCTTCGACCAAAGGGATGGGCGGGGAAGTGACACCCCAACGTGAAGTAAAATCTCTCCATCTTTGTAAAATCCACGTGTGTGTCACCCAGCCAAGGGCACATCTGTGGGATGTGTCTCAGTGTCACATCCCACACCCGTACCCACGGGACGGACTGTCTGTCTTGCCGTTCACAGCCGCTGCCCCCCCGGGACGCCCGCGGGAGGATCCTGGGCTATGCCGTGGCTGCCGAGACCCCCGGAGGAATGCTGGTCCTCTGCAACACCTCCAGCACGGAGTGCGATATCACTGTGCAACCGGGAACCCACACTCTCCTCATCACTGCTCACAACTCCAAGGGGGCTTCCAGCCCCGCCAGGATCACCCTTGGCCAGGGTGCCAGCAGCCAGGAAGGTAGGATGTCACTTACAGGTGTAAGGATGTCACAGGCCACTTGCAGGTGTAACAGAGACTGGCTTTTATCACGGTTGCAGGAGAAAAATGCTGAACTTGTGCAAGGGAAAATCTGGGCAAATATTTTCCCTCAGCAGCCCGCTCTGCTGAGGGAACACAACATCCCCCAGACAATTCCAGCATTCCCTGGAGATGGAGATGCTACACAGGTGCATATAGAACCATGGAATCCGGGAATGGTTTGGGTTGGAAGGAACCTTTTTAAAGCCCATCCAGTCCCACCCCCTGCCATAGGCAGGGACACCTTCCACTATCCCAGGTTGCTCCAAGCCCCATCCAGCCTGGCCTTGGACACTTCCTGGGATGAGGCAGCCACAGCTTCTCTGGGAAACCTCTGCCAGGGCCTCACCACCCTCACAGCCAAGAATTCCTTCCCACTATCCCATCTAAGCCTGCCCTCTGGCAGTGTGAAGCCATTCCCCCTTGTCCTGGCACTCTGTGTCCTTGTCCCAAGTCCCTCTCCAGTTATCTTGGAGCCCCTTTAGGCACTGGAATATCAGCCCTTCACCACCTAAGGCTGTAGTACGTTGGCTGGCAGAGCAAAGGGTGCAAGGCTGCTCCTTTGCTCCCTGCCCCCCAAAATAGCTCCTGCAGCCTCTGCCAGGGAGTCAGCCCCTGCTGTGAGCTGGGTCCTTGCAAACAGAAAAGGAAGAAGTTCTTTCTGAGCCACAGGCTGTGGTTTTCCCCACAACCATGCTTTCCTATTTCTGAAAAATGTCTCTTTTAATGAGCAACGGAAGGGGAAAGTCCCATTCAAACTTAGGACAAATACATGACTAAAAAGAAACTGAAGAGAATTGAAGTGGAAAAAAACTCTCTAAGCTCTCAGTTACCTGAATCATGTGCATTTCTTGTAAGAAATGACAGGTAAAGCATTTCAGGGACATGACAAAGCTGACAATGTGTTTTTGTAACACATGTACATAAACACAGGGGAGGGAACGGAGCTGGGGAAGGATCTGGAGCTCCAGAAGCAGCTGAGGGAGCTGGGGGGGCTCAACCTGGAGAAAAAGAGGCTCAAGGGGGACCTTCTTGCTCTCTGCAACTCCCTGACAGCAGGGTGGAGCCAGGTGGGAGTCAGGTTCTGCTCCCAGGGAACAAGGGACAGGGCAAACAGAAACAGCCTCAAGTTGTGCCAGGGGATGCTCAGGTTGGATACTGGGAAAATTCCTTCCTGAAAAGAGTTGTCCAGCCCTGACACAGCTGCTTGGGGCAGTGGTGGAGTCCCCATCCCTGAAGGGATTCATAAGTGGATGTAACACCTAGGGACATGGGTTAGTGGTGGCCTTGGCAGTGCTGGGGGAATGGTTGAACTCGATCTTTAAGGTCTTTTCCAATCTAAATAGTTCTATGAAATATAGAACGATATATATAAATATATATAAAAATCTATCTTCGTATATTTTGTGTGTTTATAGATATTTATATATAAACCCCCATATTCTATAATTTCTTGTTCCCTCTTCAGTTTTAAAAAACTTCCAGGAAAGACACATTTTGCCTGGGCTTAGCTGACCCTTCCCAGTCTCCTGCTCTCCAAAGATGAGTCTGTTGGGTGACACTTCCCTTTCCATCTCTCTCGGCAGAATTCCCAGCACCAGTGGCTCTGGAGGTCAAGCCCGACAACCAGAGCAGGGTCTTGGTTCACTGGCAGCCCCCCCAGCACAGCAAGAGCCCCCCACTCTGGTTCATAGTGGAGTGGGTTTCCACCTCCCAGTATCACCAGGAGGAGCACTATTTTTGGAAGAAAGTCCCATCCCAAGAAACACACACATACATCCAAGGTAAGATATTCCAAAAGTCCTTTTGCTACTTGGTACAGTTCATCAGGACATTATAAATCCAAAATAGATTATAAAGGTAGTTTCATTTGAAGTTGAGCCCCCACCCACTTGTTTTTGGGGAGCGGTACAAAGAGCCCTTAGGGAACAAGGAGAAGTGAAGAAACAGGAGATGTGAGGACAGTCAGTGGGATTTGGTTCCCTGGGTGAAGGTCACAGGGAAAGAATGAAGCGACAGGTGAGCTGGCAGCCAGGGAACCACACTAGACCTGTGGAGGTCTGTGCAAGCACAGGAGATGCTCCATCTACTTCCACCACTCAGCAACATGCCCTTGAGCAAACCTAGAGCCTTCACAGGAGGTTACAAACACATATTAAAGGCAAATCTTTTTTTTTTTCCCAGAAGAGGCAGCAGCTGGGTTTCGCATCAATGTGTCGGTGTACGCGGTCTACACCGGCGGAGTCAGCAAACCCAGCTCTGGCAAAGGTAAGCCTGGGGGGGTGGAGATGCTGCTGCTTCTTCCCACAATCTGACAGTTTGGTAGGATTACTTAGTCTTAAACACAAGATGAAAACCCCTCCCATTGACCCGAGGAAAGCAGAGCTCTAGATGGAATCCTCTTGACTACAGGATATGAAAATAGAGGCTTTTGTCAATATGTCTCTATTAAAGCCTTCTCTAGGTGGTCTTTGCTCCTGTGCAAAGATCTAATGCATTCAAGAACCATGTCTTACTGTACAAGATACACCAATGGACTCGTTCCCCCTTTAGAAAGAATGAATTTGCTGCTTTGCACATTTCACAAGTTGTTCAGATAAACCAAAACACAGAAAACAGCTTCTACAGAGACCAACTGGCCCAGCCACAGCTCACCCCTCCTTACCTAGAGTGGGAACCATGGAACACTTGGATTGGAAGGGACCTTTTAAGATCATGTAATCCAATCCCTCTGCAATGAGCAGGGACATCTTCAACTCCACCAGCAACCTTCAGTTCTGGAAATTGTTTTAGGTAAGAGCATGAGCCAACTTGCAGAGGAACATCATCATCTCCAGCATTGTGGCCTGGCTCTGCTTGTCCTCAAGAGCTGGGCAGGTCCCTGAAGACAAGGGAGGGATGACATCAAGTCATTAATTCAGACCAGAAATTTGACCTCTAGAGCCCCTCTAACACAGCCTAAGTGGAGACTGAGGGCCCAGACTGAGCTTAAATAGAGCCCCAGGCAGGGGTGTGGGTGGAGGTCCCAGGTGAGGCTGGTCAGGGTCATTAAGACCTGTCAATGCTCTTGGTGCCCTGACAGAGCTGGATGTACCTGCAGGAAGCACCTGAGGATGTTGTTCAGCGTCCTGGGCTGTGATGCCATTTTAGATGGGTTATCTGAAGCCGCTCAGATACTTTCCCTATGACAAACCAGCTCCCTGTTTCTGTTTGACACCTCTCATGGCTTAGAGAAGGGCAGTTATTCAATTTTTTTGCCAAGAAATGGAAACAAATATTCCTGACCAGTTCATCTCAGGCTATTCACAGTCATTAGCTTTGTCCTCACGGACACACTTTGGCTCTGGACAGGACCCCTTTTCTGTAGCAGCAATGGCACCACCTGTCTGTTCAGGAGAAGAGACCCCAAGGGAATTGCTGAATTTGGCCTGGACGGAAGCTTGCTGCTTATTGGAGCAGAAATACCCTTCTTACCATGGCAGGCTCATTAGCTGCAGATCTTCCCTCACCACACAGCCTGCCACACAAACAAATTATTAGAAATTCATTCCCATGGGGTTCAGGCAATTTGGGAAATCACAGAGTCCTGGAATGGAAGGGACCTTAAAGATCATCTTGTCCCACCCCCTGCCATGAGCAGGGACACCTTCCACTACCCCAGGTTGCTCCAATCCCTGTCTATCCTGGCCTTAAACACTTCCAGGGATAGGGCAGCCACAGCTTCTCTGGGAAACCTGTTGAATAACCTGTAGGTGCTCATGAAAAAGGATGTACAGTTCCCCAGCCAGAATACATTCTTGTTTCAGGTGCTGAGGGGAGCAATGTGTGTGGAAGATGTTTTGTAGTTGTTGATACATGTTAAATCAACGTCTCATTCAATTGGATCTCTGAGAAACAGGATATTGTCCATTGTCCAGCCAGAGCTGGAGTTATTAATTACTTCAGGGATTATTACTTCAGTTTCTTTTTTCTCATTACACCATTATTTATGTTTCTAAATAATATCAAAAAAATAAAACCCAGACATAGCTTCTGTGTCACCCACAGTCCTCTAAGTGAAATTATGGACATTTTTTCCCTTCTCTGTTTCAGTCCCTCCAGAGGAGCCGCTCCTGGACAGCATCTACAGTGAGAATCCCCACGGTAAGAAGACCTTGGGTAGCTCAGACTTATTAAGCCAGGCTTTCTCCTTGGCCAGCAGTGGAAGGTTTAACCCAAGAAGCACCTGCAGCATTTGGGCATGCTTGCATCAGTGAGCTCGTGTACATTTGGAGAGATCAGAGCCAAAAAAAGGACCTTTCCACTCGGTGGGGACATGACCCACCTGGAGGGAAGGCTACAGTGATCTCACATAATGCAAGCCTGGAGTTTTGCTTTCTTATGAGACTTATAATGTACATTACAATTAGGAGGTGAGAAAACAAGGAAAACATAATATCAACATATATCACAACAGCAAGAGACTGTTTCCATCTTGCAGTTTGAACCAGGGACTCATTTAAGCACTTCCCACCCATTTTTCTAACGTTGGTGATGCTCTGGTTTGCACATCTTCTGGTAGAGGTCACGTTATGATCTGTTGCAACACTTAAATCAAAAGCAAAACCAACATAAGCTGAAGAATTCACTTCAGCATTTCTGGAAGGGAAGGTAAGGCCATGTAGGAAATGGTTACTGACTGAATCACTTGACTGAATCCCCTGGCATGACCTCTTCCCTCTCCATCCTTTTTCAGATGATGACATCAGAGTTTTCCTGGGACTGGGCATCAGCATGGTCATATTATCAGTTGGTTTTGCAATTCTGATGTTTAAAAAATCAGTCAGAAAAAGGTATTATTTTCTCTTCCACACATTTTTTTCCTTATTTCTAGCTCATACCTTTTTTAGTATGTATTTTTAGTATGTAGAAGAAATTTCTTCTAGGATATTTTAAAATCAACTCCAGAAGCCAGTCTTCTCAATGCAGCCTTTTCACTGAGGGCAGCATCACCCATTCACCAGGTTGTTGTATGAAAAGACATTTGTGTGCTCTACAGTAAGGCAGAGACCAACAAAAAAACCCAAAACATAGAATCATAGGATTGGTAAAATCATAGAAAGGGGAAACCCACCCGTATGGGGTGAACCTGCAGCTTCCAAGCCACCCTCAAAGTCTGGATGCACTTTGTGTTCCCTCCTACCAGGACAGTTTCATGCTGCATGAGGAATAACTGATTGATAAAATGGACTGATATCTTGGGGTTTATTTTTTTTCTTTTTGCTAAAGTATTAAAGTCACCACTGTGCAGCTTTTGCCAAAATGGCTGTTTGAAGAGTTTCCCCACATGGAAAACAGCAACGTGGTAAAGTCCCTCCAGGTAAGTGCAGCAGTATCTCCTTTTGCTTCACCTCAGATTAAAGCTTAGAATCACAGAGTCACAGGATTGTTTAGGCTGGAAAATCCCTCTAAGTTGAGGAATCGAGTCCAACCATCCCCCAGCATTGCCAAGGCTACCACTGACCCATGTCCCCAAGTGCCACATGCACATGACTTTTAAATCCCTCCAGGGATGGGGACTCCCCCACTGCCCTGGGCAAGCGTGCCAGGGCTGGACAGCCCATTGCAAGAAGGAATTTTCACTAATATCCAACCTAATACTCCCCTGGCAGAACTTGAGGCCATTTCCTCTTGTCCTGTCACTTGTCACTTCGGAGAAGGCAACTTGCTCTGTTGCTGTGAAAAACATGGATGGGAAGAGGATTAAGCTCTAAGGGACCGGAAACTGCTCAGGATTCATTTCCCAAGCATCGCAAGGTGTATGACAGCCCAGATTAGCTGAAGTCTTTAAACCTTGCCTCAATATAGTCTGTATTTAGTGGCCACAGCTGTCTCAAGCTGGAAGGGACCTTAAAACTCATTCTGTTCCATCCCCTGTCATGGGCAGGGATCCTTCCACTGGAGCAGACTGCTCCAAGCTCTAATGACAGATCTCCTGTTAATAAAATTTTCCAGTTTGTTACTACAGTCCTCATTTTTTTCCAGAACAAGAGTGATTTAACGAGTGACAGTTTCCAGGATCCACTCCTGGACACCAGCGACCCCACAGTTATGGAAGTCGAGGAGGTGCCGGCGCATGAGGCACACGAGAGTGTGGCCACCCCATGGAAGCCCAGCAGAGAGGTCACTGAGGATGGGGAGAATCCAGGGGCCGTGGCTCCTGCCAGCACCACAATCCTGGAGCAGATCAGTGACTACAAACCCCAGATATCCAATGGGAACACACTGGGATACATCGCTGCCAACATTTACCAGACGCAGCCCCCCACAGTCCTCCCAGAACCAGAGATGAGCATCTTTGGAGACTACACAAGCCCTGTTCCACACCTGTGGGATGGGGAGGGAGGGGCACCCCAAGTCTGTCTGCTGGAGAAGATCAACCTCATCCTAAACAACAGTCGGAGCGGGCAAAGCCAGATGTTTGTCCCAGCCCAGGGGGGACACGCGTCCCTCCCAGAGAACCAGTGGGGACAGAGGCTGCCCAGCCATGACCAAGAGCAAATGCTGATCCCCAAGGAGCTACTCTCCTGCCTCAGATCCATGAACAGGGAGTCAGTGGATATAAAGCCCTACTTTCCACAAAGCACTGGAGGGTTATTTTGAGAGGAATTGTACTTGTGGTTAAAACCCCATAAGTGGTGACCAAGGCAGGTATCAGATATTTGAGATCACCAACAGCAGAGCTGGAGCAAAACTCCCAGTCAGAAATTTGCCCTCTTGCTCACTACAAGTTCTTGTGGCTCCCTGGAAAACTTGGGCCAGTAAATCACAATTTTAAACTTATCTTGTATTGACACAAGCAAAAAAACTGTAAAACCTGGATTCCTGTAGGAACTGAAATGCCAAGCAGGTGATTCTTGCAAGATGCAATGTGTTTTAATTATTATTCAACATCATTCTCTTGTTAAATATTTGGAGCATTTCGTCCTTGGAGATGATTGTGGTTACCATTGATAAAAAAAATCCCTCAGACATCCTGCCAGAGGTGTGTAAAATATTTTGGGATTACTCCTGATGAAGAGACACTGCACCAAGGAGGATTTATGTATCATACATAGGTGCCAACAACTCTTCTGTTTGACAGAATAACCCAATTTCATTTTCCTCCCATTCCATAATAAAAACCCAGTGAGGTAAGAACAAGCCTTCATTGCCTGCCAGGCTGATTTAAAATCCCTCTGAATCGGTCCCTGGCCTAATCCTTCACTTTGGGTGAGGGATTTATCACCTCAGAGCACTTTTGTCAGTGCCTCAGCTTGCTGTGTGAAGCACAGTGTGGCACAGCAAAATGGGATTTTTTTAGGCATGTGACTGGGAATTTGGATCTTCTGACATCGAGAAGGTGAAATGCAGGAGTCTTCTTCCTGCTGAGCAGTCATGAAACCATTTACAAGTTTTCCTGGGACTTACAAAACATTCCCAAAGTATATTTCTTTCAATTTTTCCTAGGCACTGTATGCATTTCTCTATCAGCTGTTGCACAAATGGATCAATTTTGTTGTTTATCCTGGATACTTCCAAACCAACATCATTGTGGGCTGTGCTTGTTTTCTTCTAACACCCCAAGAGGTCTGTCACTGATATTTCTGGAGTAGTAGATACCTGGCTAAATGGGGTAGGATTATTCTTCAGAAGCAGCAAACTGTTTCCAAGGCAGAAATGTGACTGTTTCATGTAGGTGAGTCTAAAATTAGTGATTGCTGCCTGAGCAGGAAGGAAATTGTAGAAGAACAGCTACATACCATCAGTGTGAGATGGGGAAGGTATTTTTTTCAATGTCCACATCCTGAAACTTGTGCTGAACTCTGTCACCTGAACTACCAAAGCTCACAGGGGGAAATGCTTCTTTTGTCAGCAAATAAGGCTGAAAGCTTGGTCTTACCTTTCAGGCTCTTGCTGGTTGAATTTCCAGCCCTAATAACTCCCTCCAGCGTGGATCCCTGCAAATATATCCACGGCCAGGGGAGCACAGGGATGAAACATTGCCCAGATCACGCCATGGATATTTGCCTCAGCAGTGCCAATGCTCCCACTGATTTCTTAGGTGCTGAAGGAAATATTTCTCCTTTTCGTGGGTGTGGGGGTGCATCTGGTAAATTTGGGCTGGTTACTGGAGGAAATGGAAAGAGAGGGGCACAAATATATATTTACATAGTGCTTCACCATATATATATGTTGATACGGTGAAGCCCTGGCACAGGTTGCCCAGAGAAGCTGTGCCTGCCCCGCCCCTGGAAATGTCCAAGGCCAAGTTGGACAGGGTTTGGAGCAACCTGGAATAGTTGAAGGTGTCCCTGCCCATGGCAGCAGTGGAACTGAATGATCTTTAGGGTTTCTTCCAACCCAAACCAATCTGGGATTCTGTGATTCAAAACACTGGACCAGGTTGTTCCAAGGCCCGTTAAACCTGGCCTTGGACACTTCCAGAGATGGGGCATTCCATGAACCAAATCATGACGTCACTCTCAGTAGATTTATTTTAACATCTCAGATTCCCTCCCTCCCTCCCTCCCTCCCTCAAATATTACATACTCCCTAATCCTTGATATCAGTATTTTCTAACATTTGGTTTTACTGTTGGCAGTTGAATCTTGTGCTAGTGATTTCCACTAGTCATTTATCAGCTCAGGAATGAATTTTATGGTTTGTTCAGTGCCATCACAACCTGGGTTTATGTACCTTGGAGGCACTTAAAGGAAGGGTACACTGAATAATGTCTCTACCCACAGAGAGGGAGCACCAAAAACAATGACTCGTGTAACTCACTGGTTGCAAACTCCTCTGTCCGTGATCCCCTGCGAGTGACATCTGTGTGTCAATACTTAATGATGAGACATCCTTTGTTCTGAATGAGTAACATGGAGCAGTGATCTTACACGTTACTTACACCTACGTGTACTGTAATAACTACCAAAGCAGAATAGCTCACGACCCACAGAGATGCACCACAACACGGTGTCCCATCGCTACCCAAAGTTCTAACACAACCTCCCTAAAACAGATATTTTTATAGAAATAGAAGGAGAGAACAGATGAAAAAGAAATAAGAAATTGGGTGTTCAAAGCTTCAGTGGGTTTGGAGAACAGCAGAGTCATCCACTCCTGCTCTTATCTCCATCCCCTCCATAGAGCAGGGTGTATTTACTGGGTGTATCAAGTGTGACCTCGAGGCAGTAGAAGTTACCAGCACCACTCCGTGGGACTTGTTTACCACCGTTCTTCAAAGAGTAGAGTTGGAGATTAATTAAACCAAATGCAGAATGCAGAGATTATAAATAAATTTGACATGTAATAAATTATGCATCAAATGTACATCAATAGCTACAATGTTATATCATTTATGCCTCTTCTCTGCCCCTGTTATCATGCAGGAGGACATGGAATTCATTCTGGTTTGAGGTTTGAAGCACAAGAGAGCTGGGTTTAGTCACAGCTTAGTCACCAACTCACCGCGTGACCTTCACCAAGCGCTTTGCCTTCATTTCTTATCCACAGAGTCTGAATAGTAACAACTACCACTGGTAAAGCCTCAGGATCTGAGGTCAAAAGCACCTTAAACTCTTTGGTAACGGGACAAGAAGATCATTGAAACATCTTCTGAGTAATATTGTGCAGCTTGATTTTATTCTGTGTCGCATTTACAAACCCACTCCAGGCTGGAAGGTTTGCAAGGGCTTGGCTGTCAGTAAACTGTGGGAGAGATTCAATGGCAGATAAAGATGCTGCAGAGGCTAAAATTGGATTACAAACTTGAGCATTTCACAGAGCTAAGTAACACCCGTCGACCTCGGGGGATTTCTGAGTGCACAGACCAAAGATCAAAGCCCAGATTGTGACCAAGGCTCGTGCAAAGCTGCAAAGAAGTGCCTGGATCAGCAAAAGCCTTCTGGAAACGTGGCAAGGGGGAAATGGTCACAGATGGAATGACCTGACAACAACAGTGGGAATATCCATTAAAAATTATGCTATTTGTTGTAGTCTCTTCCACCCTGAGCTTTGGGGGGTTAGTTCTTATGAAGGGAGGATGAGGAGTTGTGCTCAGGGTGGGAGGGCTGAGAACAGCGGCAGAGACTGAAACCAAACTGGCATTTCAGAGAAGAGGATGTGAGAGGTGAGGCTGTGGTTTGGGTCTCATCGGGCTCCACTGAATGCCACCTTCACAGGGAAAATTACATGAGAATGGCTCTTGCAAAGCCATTGGAGCAGGGCTTGGATTCAGGAGAAAAGAAACCTTGAAAACAGCAGAAAGAAAACAAGCTACAAGGGTGATCTAGTACAGGGGATTTCATGATTGCTGCTTACCAACCCAATCAAGCCTTTCCTGAACAGAGAGGAATTAATCTTGCCACAAGAATATTAGAAAAACCCAGTATTCTTAACCTCAAAAGGACCCAGGTGTTGATGTATCTTGTGCATAATCTGTATGATTTCCTAGAGCGTGTGATTTCCACACTCTCCCTGTGGATCAAGCCTTCCTTGGCTTTCATATGTGCAAGAGGAGACAGAACAATTACCTTTACCAAACTAAGTGACTCATTTCATCCTGCTGGATGAAGGCCAATTCAATGAGAGTCACTGGCACACAGAGCAGATGGAAAACTAACAGAGCCAGAGCAGAGGGGACCTGCAGTACTGAAAACAGACACCCCTGCACTGAGTTATTGCTCATTCTGCTGCTGCAGCTGTAACTTCAACAGTGCTGGGGGCTGGGTGCCACAACTCCACTGTCCAGGCTCCAAGGAACCAAATACCTGAGCAGCTCAAAGTCATTAACATCGGAAGGAAGCTACAGACCTGTTGGAGTGAGTTCAGAGGAGGACACGGAGCTGCTCCAAGGACCGGAGCACCTCTGCTCTGGAGACAGGCTGGGAGAGCTGGGGGTGTTCACCTGGAGAAGAGAAGGCTCCAGGGACAACTTAAAACCCCTTCCAGTGCCTAAAGGGGGAGCCTAAAGAGAGCTGGAGAGGGACTTTGGACCAGGGCCTGCAGGGACAGGACAAGGGGAATGGCTTCCCACTGCCAGAGGGCAGGCTTAGATGGGATATTGAGAAGGAGTTTTTGACTGTGAGGGTGGTGAGGCCGTGGCACAGGTTGCCCAGAGAAACTGTGGCTGCTCCATCTGTGGAAGTGTCCAAGGTAGCACTGGGCTTGGAGCAACCTGGTCTGGTGGAAGGTGTCTCTCTGCCCATGGCAGAGGTGGAACTGGATGGGCTTTAAGGTCCCTTCCACCCAAGCAAGTCTGTGATTCTGTAATTCTCAACAAGCCCTCTCAGCTCTTACATTTACGTCTCTTGGTGTCTGCTCAATTCACGCACGCGCAGTCACTACAGACCAGCAGGGCTGGGGCTGGTGGAGCTCGGCCAGCACGGCTTCCCCTGAGCTCTGTGAGGTGACACTGCAACCACCAGTGTCCTCTTGCTTTGTCCTCCCCCCATATGCAGCCTCTGTGCCTCACACACGGCTCCCTCTGCCACTGCCGTCCCCCAACAGCACCAAATATCACACCCTTCTGTCAGGGTGCTTTCCCCAGCTCCGCTTTCAGACTCACAGACACCCCCTCCCCCTAGAGAACGGATTACTCTGTACTTTCCTTGACATCACCCCATGCCAGGGGCACCAGGGAGGGTGGCACAGCATCTTCAGGGCATCGGCAGCTCCATTGGCAGCAGGACCTTGGACTCTGGTTCCCTTTGGCTGTGGTGAGTACCACATGCTCAGCAGAAGTCAATGAAGAATGAATTGTAGGAAGAAGCAGAATTTGGTGCTAAAAAATAAGAGAAAGGGGAAAGGGAAAAACAGAAAAG